GAGTCCTGTCAACCGTTCGCTCAGGCGAGAACTGTATGCGACTGCGAACAACCAATCAAGACAGAGATATCGATCGGCGTCCGCAAGCCCAAGGCTGATTCGTGAGTGCGTACGCAGGGAGTGATGGGCGTGCTAGACGGACCGAAGGCGACATCGGTAAGTGGACACGCCGTGAGTGCGGGCAGTTACAAGTAGCATAAGTGAATGTGGGCCGTTCTCCAGTTACATGAACACTCTTGATTGTAGACCCTCGTTGGAGCTGCCTAGGGGAAGTGCCTTACTGAAATAGCTGCCGGTTACAATGTCGTCCCTTAAAGCATAAAAACGCTAGCGCTCCCGTATCCGTTGCCCATCAAACTGAACGTCCTTTGTTGCAGCCCTAGGTAGTCCTTCCCTTCCAGACATCCTACTGACCAACAGGTTGGCCGCAAATAGGGTCCGTGCAGGATGGACGTTGCGGCATTAAGTGAGGCCGACGTCTCCGAGCGAGGTAGGTGCGTGAGAGCTTGTGGAAACGCAAGGCTGTCGACAATAGGTCCCCTAAATCAAAATTCAGAAGGGTAAATTTAGTCAGACAGCCTCTACTGCTGCAAGAGAGTGCACGGGCGACTTAGAAGACGGTGAGGGCAGTTGCTTAACCAGAACCAGCCGTTAGGGTTCGCCCTGGCGCAAGGTTCGCGGATGCGCCCGAGCTTTGTCGGCCTCTAACCAATCAGCAGAAGGTGCGACACCGATCGGCACCAAACTATTGTCACAGTGGACCAAGTAGAGCATGACCCAAACATCCAACTAGTAGGAGGGTTGACGGCGGCACGAGAAAGCGGCCGTGCTTTCCACATTGAGGGCAGACGGCCACAAACCTGGGGCCGACATGCGCTGCATGGGCGTCAAGACGTTGCTGTGGTCTTTGTTGTCATCAAAACTGTAAGCGTTGCATTCTATCGCACAGAGCATCAGCCATCGTCTCCTGGGAATGAAGCTCCCACCTCTCCCCACTGAGAAAGTGTAGGCGGCGGGAACTGGAGCCACCTCTGTACCCAACGAGGTAGAAGTCAAAGTAAGGCCTACTTAAACAAGTATAGTAGCTAGTTCTGCGTACTATCATTGGATTCAGCCGCAGTGACGAGCAGCAGCTACATAGAGACAAGGCGGTTGCCCATTTACGTATTGATGCCGATGGTTAACAACTTGATTGCCCTCGATGTCTCTAGCACTCGCGTTCGCACAAATCGCGCCACAATAAAGCGGAGTGGTAGGATGTCACTGAATCGGGAACTGTAACGGACTCCTCCCGTAACTGGCGCACACAATACACAACCTAATCACCAACGCTGTCCATCCTCCTGATTGGCGAAAGGCGACGCGAATGCACGGAAATAACAAGTGTCGACCCAAGGTACTCGTCAGGAGGGAGGTCCGGTTCGATGCGTTGGTGACAAAGGCAGTATGCAGCACCGAGTACTGAACGGATCTCTGTCCCCTGCCCTTCAAGATGGGACCACAGCACCAATCTCATCGATAGTGGACCAAAGGACACTAATGCTCGAATACCAGACAGTGAAGAACGAACACCGGACTACATAAAAATGAATGTCGGTCAGGAGCAAACAGGCATCCTGGGCGAGCATCACGTCGGGAGACTGCGTGGCACCATTCATGTCAGTTGCTTGGTGGTTCATGACTCTTCACTGTGACAATAACAGAACTACTTTAATGTCAGCTACGAAATTCATCGTCTCTTTGCTAATGAGATCACCTCGTACAAACCTTCGAATGCAACCAATGGGTCAATACAAACCAAGGTTGGTTAGGCCGGAAGGCAGAGGATATTCTGACAAATGGATAGGTCACGGCGAAATGATGAACTGGACGATTGTCATGGTCGTCTACAGCACCCGAAACAACGGGACCGTACCTCCTGTTCGGCCTAGATAACACAACCCCATTGCCGTAGAAGTCGGAAAGTTTGAAGCCTTTGGTCGACAATTTCAGTTCGGCACCAGTCGCCCACCTGCAATCCGCAGGGGAGCGTCCAACAGACTGCCTCGAATGGCAGTATACATTGGTCTTAACCGCGCTTCTTTTCGGCGGGAGGCAATCAGGACAGTGCGACAGATGTCCGACGGAGACGTTCGGAGTTGTAAGGCCTGGGTAGGTGGGAGATCGTGACCTACTTCTGTTTTGGGAAGGAAAAAAGGCGTCAGAAGGGAACGTACATTCTGCACAGGAACTTTCTCTCGTCCGTAGCCTTCAACGCCCAACAAAATCAAGGTTTGCCCGCGTCTCTCCCCAGGCGTGGTGTATGTGCAAGTGGCTAAGCGTTTATCAAACATCAAAGCAAGTTAACTTTTGTTTTTTGCGCGATCTCCGGGATTTGGGAACACCCGCAGCCGACTATCCTAGAAGCTGTCTGCGCATACGTTTGAAAGCCGTGATAGAGTAATGCCTAACGCGGCGTGTGTTTCAAGGAAGTTTTAAATGCGACTGAGGCTCTACCGAGTGCTGTCTCATTTTTGGAAAGTCTATAAACTGGGTGGTTTCGACTTCTGAGCCAGTTGACCTCTTAGTTTGATGGGATGTGGAGACAAGTATCTGAAGACTTCAAGGGGGCAGCCATTGTTCATCAGCGACGTGTGTGCGTGTGTGACAGTCATCTCGCATATTTCCCTACCCCAAAACAGACTCCACTGCAGATGCGCTGGACCGAAACGCGGCCCAGATTTGTTCACGAGACGTGTTTTTCAAGCCGCGCATAAGCCCACAACCACACGCATGTGGTATGCAGACATTTACGCCGCGTCATTAACCGCGCCCAACCCCATTAATTTACAGATTTGGAGAGTCGGTTATTGCCTAGTAGTATGAGGCCGGCACTGAGGAACCCGACCTCCGCATCGTACTTCTTCCCAGTTTGGTCATTATAACAGTCTCACTGATGAGAGCAGTAACCCATCGTAGCCCGGTACCAGAGCGTAGATTGGCCGTCTAGCTTCGCCCACTCCGACTTCCGGCTGTCTTCACACTATCTCGCTATCGCAGCGACTTGGATGAGGAAAGAGAGGGTGCGGCAGGTGCTTCGCAAGCCTGTCTCGCCATAGCCTAGTTTCCGCGCATGTCACCGGGTATGTTGGCACCCGCAAAGGCCGAACTGTCAGAAAGTTGCCTGCTTACCGCTTAAACGCCTGAGTACCTACATCCAATGTACACTTTTTTTACAGAAACACAATGCAAACAGGGGAACCACAGGTCTACTCCTTGCAGCCCGCAACTACGTTAATATATGGGCACTAATCTTTTTACACCACCTAAGTAGATGTAATCTGTGCATACAGCGGCTGGTGGGGTTTACAGTATCACGCGTCACAATCGACGGGTTGGCCTCGAAAGTCGACAAATAGGGTGTGGCAGGGTCACTCTGCCGTCCCAAACCTCCTCGGCCGGATGTTCGTCTCGCTGGTGGATGCCTACGTTGGAATCGACACTAATTATCAAAGCGGTGTTCAACCGCCCATTGTCTGGCGTACAGAAGCCGAAGCGAAGGCATCCCAGGCCAAAGTCTACCGCCCTATGCCTGCAGAGGACTTTATGCAGAAGCAGGCATTTAGCAAAGCTCGAACAGTTCTGTTGCAGCTTGTTCAGGCCTCATATTGACTGTTGGCGCGAAGGAGACGACACCAACTTAGAAATACAACCAATGAAACACCCCACAGCTGTGGACAAATTCGCTTTCCTGGGGAGTGCCAGGTAAGGAAAAACCCAGCCAACCAGATCTCCGATAGACTGCAGCACTCAGCCTGTAGTAGCTGCGACTTTCATCTAAACACGAGACTGCGGTTGTACACGGCCGTTCCTCTGCGGACAGCGTGCTACAAAAAGGTAAGGATGCTGAATGTAAACTCGCACCGAACCAACCCTGCCACCCGAGTCCTGGGGTGGACGGGCGCATTCATCGTCTATGCTCGCCAAACTGTGATTGAGCCGATAATGGGTGAGAATTGACAGGTGTCTATTAATTCTAACTGTCCTACGCTGACGTTAGTACGGGTGTTCCGAGGTACGTCGGTCAAAACAATCGAGGAAAGCGAAGACTTCTTAATCGAAATCGGCAGGTTTGTCGTATTTCCATAAAGAAATTGTCGGGACTAAACACGCAAAACGCCAGCGCTGAAGATCAATGCCATTAAAAGCCAGTCTTTACCAATATGGCCAAACATTTAAATGACGTCCACGGCCCGGCGTCATTGGACACCTCAGGATCAATACGACCGAACTATGGCACAAACCTCAAAGTATCACCAACACAACCATATATGAGGACACCTGCAACATGGTCTTGCTGTTGGGGGGTCTCCATGGCATCCGTGTTGGAATGACCAGCAGCCCAGGGCCGCCGTGTCACAGCTAACGACTCCTTCAGTCAAACCGTACTGACCACTGGGGAGACTGGCCATTATGGAAGTCGTCCCCTGCTGTAACTGCCACCTTACCTCACGCACCGCTAAAACTAGGCTCATTTGTCGGCGTTAGTCAGCCAGACGCGTGGGTCCTGAGTACTCGCGTTAAGGCAAAACAGAGCAGCTGTATCCGCTATAATTAAGACAAACCTCTGAATATTTCATTCGCGGGAGGTGTTTGTTTTGGCGACGGCTTGGACCCTTGTGTCCTGCGTGAGATTTCGAGGAAAAGTCACAACTTTCAGATGCCCATACACTGCAAATTAGCATATTCATGCTGAATGTCAGATAACGTACGGCCGATACAATAGCTCATCTGCCCTCGGCGGATTCGTGGTAATGCATCATACTAGACCGTCAGACCTAAGCATTTCTCTGTAGCTCGGAAGCACCACAGTAGCTAGACTCCAAGGTAACTTACAAACGTGTAACGCAAAAGGAGTGACACGTAATGAGCAAAAAAGTCCGAGTTGAGACGAAGTCAAGTTAAAAAAAAAACAAGGAAGAGGATGTCTTTTTACAGGTGATGCCATTGGGCGGAGCTTATTAAAATCCGTACTTTGAGCGGCTCAGATGCTGGTTCCGCCTCGCCTCAGACCACTGTTCCTGCAACTCGTACTCCTGCTCCTGGGCCTGGGAGAGGAAAAATAGAGTTTTGGCGGTCTCTCAAACAGGGCTTTATATTATCTCACTTTATTGCATCTAACAAGTGGTCAAAGTCAAGTTGAGCGGGGAATTAACAGAGGGGACACTTCTATAGACCAAATTATAAAAACGAAAGTACGATCTGTAAATACCTGTTCTGGTTGGAACACCAACATGCTGCTAGAAGAGAGCTGCAGCAAAGAATTCCGTGTGAGCGTTTGCGATGATGTACTCGTACGACCATATTACACTTACTTTGCAAAGTACAGGCAATGAAGAAGGATATTTTGCACAAATCGTGGACAATGAAAAGTATCTAGACTATCTATGCTGTCTTGAGTTGCCTTTCGGGCGCTAGACCATCGGCGCCTATTTCGACGAGTCACACTTCACGTGCTCGGACACGTAAACGGGTAAATGGCTGTAGTCCATCGACCTCTATCCAGATTGACTGATCAGGAAGGGTGGCTAGCTAGCAACAATAACTGATCTGTAGGCCAACTGCCAAGTAAAAAATAGCAGTCCAAATTTATACCCTCTGGTTAGTGATAAGCGCCGTTTGCCTGGTAAGGGCATTCCTTGAATGGCCAAAGAGCACAATGACGGCATAAGCTGGCAATGAATAGGACTTTAAATTCAGAGACTTATCAAGGCTATCTTTTATAACACAGGAAGTATTTTAAAAACTATATTCCAGTTTTCGGAGCACTGAGGCATGCGCATCAAGACTTACCTTGTATGCCAACCAAGTTATCTGGTGTTTTCTGAAGGCTAACTTGTTTGGCTGTTCAACATCAACCTTCCTCGGTCGGTTGTCCGAGGTAATAGACTTAAGCAACTCAAGCTGAGCCCCATCAGTTAGTTCATCTTGACTAACAGTGCGAATCCCCGACTTGGTAGAGGCAAGAACATCCATGACGGCGGACGAACGAGCTCCGATGGGTACCTGGCCACATCCACCGAGGCGGGCCCGCTTGCGCTTAAAAATATAGCGAATAGGAGCTTGTAAATGAATGAGAGAAGAGAATAGGGAAAAATAAAGTTTCCATCTATTTTAAATGCTGTTTGACTGACTGGAATCTCGAGAATGTGGAAGTTGCAGATACTAAACAACTGTAACGCGTGCAGAACCTACCTCTGGGGCAGGAATAAAGGAGGCTTCTGTCCAGACGGGTTCCGGCTCCTCCACATCATCTACCTGACTCGATTCCTTAGCTGAATGATCTGCAGGTCCCTGTCCCGGTTCAGGAAGGTCCGCATCGGCAAACGGTTTTTCTGGAAGAACTGGAAGTCCTGGAGGCGCGGAACTGGGAACACTAATTTTGGAAGGAGCTGAACTTGGAACATGAGAGGTAGCCGGGTGGGAAGAAGAATTAGATGAGGATGGGACGGCAGATGATGATGCTGCCGCTGTCTGGCCAAGAGCAGTCAAACGCTCTGCCTCCTTTTTCGCATCGTAGAAGGAGAAATACTTTGATTCTCCGGTTCCCTGTTCGGCGTCATCATCGATATCTGCGGTGAACTCATCTTCATCCTCCTCCGGCAAGGTAGGATTCGCGGATTTCAGTTGAGCGGCAGCCCGCTGACGTTGTTCATATTGCTTTACAAGACCTTCGGGTGCCTTTGGCCTAGCCAGTTGATGAGGAATCATCATCGGCGAACTGCCCTCGCGAACGATAAGGGCTCGCGTGGGTGGGAGAAGATCCAGCAAGCTGGTAGACTGCTTTTGTTTTGCCGGATATGTCTGAAAAATGTAATAGCTAGGTGGTTAACCTTGGAAATTGGTGAGGTCAGCAGAACCAATTGCTCGACTGGTCTCAAAACTAACGGGATAACATGCACTTTGAAGCCGGCAAATTTCTCGGAGGCTTACCTGTGTCTTTTGGGGTTTCATGCTGCTTTCGTCGTCACTGTCATCCGAAGAATCTAGCTGAATATACTGAGACAATGGAAATCACAGATACCTCTTCTAGTGTTGGAATTGTTATTAAAACCTTTCCTGACTTTGAAGTTCGTCTTTCAATGTTTAAAGGCTTTAAAAGAGGCTTTGCATTCCTGGGAATCCGCATTTTATACTCGGCCTCGACAGAATCCATAAACTGTTCCGATGAGTTTGGCGGCACAACTTTTTGTGAAAGATTCGACACTTCGGGATTTGTTTCTTCTAAAGCAACAGATTATTAGCAATACGGGGAAAGCACCCTCGGAGTCCGAAGAATCGTCGGAGCGGTCGTAATTAACGAGCGCCATTTCGCAGCCGACGGAACCGATAAACCCAACTTTAAGCCAAATGCCCAACTTTATTCAGAAAAGTTAGCTTACGCAAGATCCAAAGTTTAATTGCCGGAATTTCTCAGTATTTCATTCCTACCATATTATTTATGCAAGTTTGCAAGCTTTTTTATATTTTCTGCGTCCTCTGTCGTGAGCCACACAGACCTCTAACTAAACTGCTTGCTGTCGATTTCTGACACATTCGTCGCTCATTCAGGAATTATCCATAGATTCTGCCAGTGGAATACTTTGTATTTCCGAGTCCACCAGTTAGCTCGTATATTCCATAATAACATGAAATCTGAAGGTGTAGAAAGGCAAAACTTGATATCTGGACACTTACCAGAAACACCTTATTCTAGCCCGTTTGCAGACGACGAAGTCTCTTAAAAGCTTAGCATGATGAGAAAGCTATACAAATAAATTCTCGTTAATGGATATCAGTCTGTCGTTTACGATAGTGAGGACAGTGTAGGACATCCTGAACAAGCGGCATTTTAGGTCTCACGATAAAAGACTTGACAGCTTTCCCACAACGCCTACGTATACGTTTGAGGAAGAAATAAACTTGCCATTTCAAAATTGCATGTCATTGACTAAAAGGGATTAATGTGGTGGCAATCGGGTTTGGTGTTCAAGAAGTCCTTGCTTAACCATTCGTCATTTGCTACTGTGTTGTAACCACCTTCTTTTCGTACCTATAGTGAGCCGGACATCGGTTTGAACATTATAATTGAAGCACGCTTTTAGATTGCTTAGTAATGATCCTCGCTGATGATCTCATATTACTGCGTGCAGGCGGAGTTGAGGAACACAGCCGATTTCATGTTTAAGTAGACAACTACTTGTTTGTCCCACTGAGGCCTAATCGACAGGTTTCCTGAAGGTCTGCACGTCAGACGGCATACCGTTCTTTTAATAATCCTTGCTACGAATACTCTATCGTTCATGGGCCGAATTTCACCATAGAGACTTAACCAAGGTTCCCTTAGCCTTCTTATAAATTTGACGGCCGTTGGCGTTCACATAAACAACAATCAGATCTCCCCACACAGTATAAAATACTGGCACCTGGATGACAATTCAGATGTTGAACAAGTTACAAAAGGGTGTACTGTCGGTCGCCAATAAGAGCTTCTTGTATGCTAGTAGCCTCAATGATCAGTGCTTACATACCTGGAGACCGACTGAGAAAAACCTATTGATTTTTAGCACACTATTGCGACGCTTTCAATATTCAACGCCTTTTTGTCCAAAACGTTTGCTAAAAACTCGATCGCACTGCTCCCGACCGTACAGGCTTGGACCGTGGTCGTTCTCGAAACTACAGCCTTCACTCTCTGGGACGTAACTGTAGCGATTCGGCGTTTTTACCAATCTCATAGCCCTGGATCTGATGGTGTCCTTTTAGGCATTCCGAAAGAGGATGCAAATGCAATTTTCCGTACCTCCTGTGCAAGATAGTTAATTTCCCTATTTAAAGTCAAACCTATACTACTTTGTGGAAGAATGCACACAGTTTGCCTACTCCAAAACATGGCCAATCTACGTCATTTGACGACTTTCGGCCGATAAACACCCTCCCCGCAAGTTTCGAAGGTCTTAGATGCATTGATCAAAGGTAAGATGACGTGTCACTTAACAGAGAATAACTTACAGCGCACAACACAGCATAGATTCCTTAAAGCTCGGTCTTGTGACACCTGCCAGCCCTCTTTCTTTGACCATGTTATCCAACCTATGGACAACGGCTTTGCACTGCACACAGTACATTTGGATTTCACTAAGGCTTTTGATCGTGTTGACCATGATCTTCTTCTCTTGAAACTGTCCTCTTTTGGGAACGGTGGAAAACTTCAGAATTTTATATCCTCTTACCTTCGTGGTCGCATGAAACTAGTTAAGATTTCAATGCTATATCCAACCCCACATTTGTGAGGGGTAGAGTCATTCAGGCTAGTTTACTTGGCCCGCTACTATTTTGTCTTTTCGTCAACGACGTGCCAAAATTATTTCAGAATTGCAAGATCTTCATGTATGCCGGTGATTTGAATGCTGCGTACAGGTGTAAGGCGGCAGATCGTGACATCGTGCTTGAGCTCCTAAAGTATGACCTACAGGCCTTCCCCAGCAGTGCCGCACATGGCGTCTTCCCTCTCTTGGAATAAATACTCATTCATGGTGGTTAGCGACGACCACCAACGTAAATTCTGTATTTAAGGTCACGACATAAAGGTGTCTGCGTTTATTAAGGATCTGGGTGTATCATACTTAAAGAGCGGAATAAGATAATATCCGTCCAACACTTTTTCGCCTTGCAACGCCAATCCTTGACCTACCAGGAACGATGCGAGCTTACAGGCCTTGATCTCTTGTGGTTTCTTCGGTCACAAAAAAGACTATTTTTTACTGCTTTTAATCTTAAACAGTCGTATTTTGAATCCGCCTGCCACTTTAAACCTGTCGACTTCTCCCGGCGTAATAGTCGCGGTGAGGTCTTTTTATTTCTTCCTCTGGCAAGTTCCGCTAAATATCGTCGTTTCTTTTCTGTGAAGGCAACTGCGACCTTGAACAAATTATCCAGGAATTCGAAAATTCTGCAAAATTATTTTTGTTTATAAGAACCATTGGTCTTTTTGCAGTCCGAAAGTCTTCCACATATTTTGTGTGCCGATTCAGCCGATTTTATCTACCGTATTGCTGGAGTTCGTGGTCTCTGATCCCCTGGCCCGTCTCACCACGGACCATTTCTTCAGATGCTAGCGAACAATGGTTTTTCAGTGCCTCTGTTTGGCCCAGTGCCAATTTTATGTGAAGGAATTTAGATTGAAAATATCCGAAGCAGTGCTTCCCGCCCCCTTGTGAACTGTCGTCATTCAGTGGCAGCAGTTTTTGTTCTCATGAGCCATTCAAACTGCAAAACACCATCCTCTTATTTAATCATAAGGAGTTTTTACTGTTGGCCTGATCTGTGCTTTATTTTTCTTTGGCAGTACCTGTTAACTGGCCTTAAATGTAATCAAGATTATTATTACAAATAAAAAGAACAGCATACATCCATCACCCGGGAGCCGCTGCGCCTGCAACCGTTCGGCAACTCCCGTCGGATTCCGGCGCTTTCCCGCTAGAGATTTAGAGCACGGTTTTGAGGATTCCTTGGTGGCAAATCGAGAGGTCCGAATCACTATTCGTTTCAACATGGGAAAGAAAGTGGATGGCGGCGTCAGAGATCGTGGATGGAAATTTAAGGGCACTTCTGATGTGCTCGACCCAGCACTTCAAAACCAATAATTTCTCCTTAAGAGGTGTTGCTCCGTCCGAGCCGGGAAACTGAGCAGGTTCTTCCACTGTGAGGCCGTAGACCACCTTGTCTGAAACGAAGAAGTTATTGGCTTCATTACGGCCCGCATATTCCCGGATTTTCTTTGTCTAGCGAAACATCCATACGCCCTATATCTCCCATAGTCGCCACTGCAAGGGTTTGGGCATCGAAATAAGGCCGCTTTGCATGCGTCGGTCCGACCGTCGACGTTGGCTTTGCACAGCCCGTGCTTTATGGCGATAAGGTTACTGAAATCTGCGTCATTGCCGTTGGACCAGTCCTGGTGTTGATAACATGCGCGCTTAGGGACGTCCAAGGTAGTGTAGTGGGTAGCATTCCGCAATTTGCACCACACAATTACAAAGGAGACGTTTTTTTCTGGAGCTTGCAGACCTTCCAGCTGCTGGGTCAGCTGATTGCTGAGATTGAATTCAGGAGTTGGAGAGTTCAGCAGAGCAATAGTTAACTTACCTGGTGGTCGCTTTTTCGTGACCTCCTTCAGGGTTGCAGCGGCAGCCTCATCTTGAAGATGAGAAGGCCTTGGACGATGCAGTCGTGGACGTCGCAGATTGCTTTGGCCGCGAGCACGTTGTGTCGGACTCACATCTAGACGATAATATGGCCTAATATTTGTCATTGGCGCGATCTGTGGTGCATCCAGGTCGTTTCTTCTGCATCAGAAGGTGGAAGAAATAGTTGGCTAGGAGGTGGCGGTGTTCCTCGCGAGTTCGCAAATGAAGGAGGCCGTCGTCTTTGCAGCCACCGATTCTATGAAGATCCAACATTCCCCTTCGGGCAGCGTGGTCTATCCCTACACGGGTGTCAAAGTCGCCAAAGACGATCAGCTTGTCCGCCATCAACAGTCGCCAGAAGTGAGTGCCAGTCTTCGTAAAACTTGATCCTTGCCTCTTCGAAGCTGCTCATTGGGAGAAGTTTTAGACGCCGATGTTGGTGGCGAATTTAGTTCCGCTATGGAGGTAGGGGCAGGGTCAACAGATGGTCTTTGGTTCTCTGCGACAGATAGTATAGTCGTCCCACGACGTCGTTTCGTCGGACAAAGGTGGTGCGGGAGTTGCTTCGCCCTGCCTTTTTTCGGTCGCTCCAGAAGGTGCAGCCGGTACCTTCCTCGTGCAGCTGACCCTGTTTAGAGAATTGGGTCTCGTTTAGAGTAGATCTGTGCACTTTATAGCCCGCCCGTTCCAGAGTGACTGAAAACGTTCAGCTTTTCGACCGGTTGCTGCTCAGATTGTTTAAAAGTGAACAGATCTTCCGGACTGCCAGCGTTAGCGAACTCACCCCAGCAGTCTATGGGGTATGGTAGTGGGTGGGGATGAGGGATGTAGCGATTATTCATGGTGGTTTTTCGGTCATGAGTTTTGCAGCTACGGGCCACGTTATGATAGCAGATAGCGTGATTTTCCAACACTCCTTCAGGTCACCTTTACTGGCCCCCGTCCGGCAATGGTGTCAGCAGTGGTATCCCTAAATAGAGCTGCTTAGATATCCCAGCCGGCTACCGAACCGCACTACGGGTCACGACTTTGTTTATTGGAGAGCGATTCGATTTAGCTCAGGGCGCTTATGATATTGCATGCGACTCTCTCTGTTAAACTTTTTGAAGTGGAAGGGGGAGTGGGGGAGGGAAAGGGCAGAA